CCAAGAAGTGTCCTGCGTCAGGGGCGTGGCTGCTGTGTCCCATCCGTTGAAGTCCCCGACCAGAAAAACCGCCGAGGCAAAGGGCATCCATTCGCAGTAGGTCCATCCGGATCCCTCCCGCTGCAGGCCGAAGGTCTTGTAGCTTTCGGCGAGCTGCTTCAAGTCCCCGCCGCAAGCATCCAGCGACTCCTGAAAGGCAGCCAGCCTGCTCTTGGACTGCTCCAGCTCCGAGACCTGCTCGTGCGTCTCTGCAAGTGCAGCATCCAGGGCGTCCAGATCCATGAAGTGCAGCCCAGAGTAGCACCGAGTCATGTCACGGATGTCCACCCCGGCTTCCTCGGAAGACTTTGGGTTTTCTGCTTCGGCCACTGGCTCGACCGCTGGTTCGACCGCTGGCTCGACCGCTGGCTCAATCGCTGGCTCCGGCTCTGCCACGGGCGCCGCCGGCGCTACAGGCGCCACCGGCGCCACGGGCGCGACGGGCGCTACGGGCGGACTGGGCGGTTCCGGCGCGCGCTTCGCTTTCGTCCTGGAGTAGCCGCCGAGCCGCTCTGCGGCCGTCATAGGCTTCGGCGAAGGGTTTTCTGGAGTGGCACGTGCTTGCTGGGGCACCGGCTGGGGCACCGGCTGGGGCGCCGGCTGAGGCGCCGGCTGAGGCGCCGGCTGGGGTGCCGGCTGGGGCGGCGGCTGGCGTGCTGGCTGGGGGGCAGGTTGGGCTGCCGGCTGCGGCGCCGGCGTGGGCTTCGGTGCGGGTGCAGCAGCTTTGGCCACCGGCTGTGGTGCTGGTGCGGGTTCAGGCTCTGGCTTCGTCTCCTCCTCCGGCGGAAGCTGATCCTCCGGCCTGCCATTCTTGAGGAAGCCCAACAGCGTCACAGTGTACTCCCCAGGAAAGTAAATTCGAAACCTGGTGTCCTTTGAGGCCTTACAGGGCAGGATGCAGTTGTCTTCGGTGACAATATCAAAGGTTGCGTCGAAGTTCTCAGCTAGATGGACAGCACCGTCTACGAAGTCAAAGTCGATCATCTCCTCGTTCCCATCCCTGTAGGTCACCAAAGACCTGAGAGTACGGGGGAGGGTATTCGAAGGTTCCTGCGGTTGGCGGCGTAGAGCTTGCAGCTCATCCCCCCTACACACTTGCAACCCTACTTGGAGGTTCATGGGCAGGAACATCCATAAACCTCCAAGGAAACCGCAAACTCTGGGGACCCGACAGTTTCAGCCCCTCTGTGCTGTCCAGATCGTACTGCAAAAGGAAGCTATCTTCAACCTCAGCCGCCCCCCCCCCCCAACAGACGTATTCCAGGATCATATGCGTCGCCATACTTCAAGGTTCATGGGTAGTTGTAAGTAAAAATCACAAGTATGGCAACTGTACTTGCAACCCTAAACCCTAAACCCTAAACCCCAAAACCCGAAGCCCTGACAACCCATGAACCTGAAAGCAAGGATCCCGATAGTGGGGACTGCCTTGCCCTCCAAAAGGATCCCACACTCCCTGAATGGGGTTTAGGGTTTAGGGTTTAGGGTTGAGGGTTTAGGGTTTAGGGTTTAGGGTTGAGGGTTGAGGGTTTAGGGTTTAGGGTTGAGAGAGTCACAGAAAAGCGCTGAGATCGGTGCGTAGACGTGTACTCCGCCCGTCAGCTTGCTCGCCCTGCCACGCCAACATCACTCCGGGAGAAGCACCAAAGCCAAAATCCCAAAAAACCCCAAAACCCCAAGACCTAAACCTAAACGGGGGGTTTCCCAAAATTGGGTGGGGGGGGGGGGGGCGGGGGTACCCTTTTTGGGGTTCCCTTAAAAGGGTTGTATCGTATTTTGGAGGTATAAAAGGGGTACCCTAAATCAAGAGAAAACCTAAATCCAAACCCTAAGCCCCAATGCCCGCCTCCACCCATTCCCCAAGAAGTAAGAAAGTTCAAAGCAATCAACCCCTTATATACATACCGGCAAAACCCGAAGCGCACACTGCAGAACCCTTTAAAGAAGGTAAGGGACCATACAACAGGGATCAATGACTGTTTGCTGAAGAACCACCCCAAACAAATAGAGAAATTCTTCCGTATAAGGGCAATATGGAAAGCCTTGTTTTACATTGTTGGGGGTTCCGTGGCAACTAGCAATAACCCTAAACCCTGAACCCTAAACCCTAAACCCTAAACCCGAAACCCTAAACCCTAAACCCTAAACCCTAAACCCTACCCCTAAACCCCATTTTGGGGAGTCCTTCTTTTTGGGGGCCCAAGGCCGAAGCCTGCAGAGCACCTGCGCGGTGCGAGACGGCATGTACAGCCTTGGCTACGGGTTTTAGGGTTTAGGGTTTAGGGTTTAGGGTTTAGGGTTTAGGGTTTAGGGTTTAGGGTTTAGGGTTTAGGGTTTAGGAGGCTGTTCTTGTTGCGCAGCCTTCGCAAGGGGAGCTTAAGTTTTTGCGAACTTTTGAAGAAAAAACACACACACACACAAAGCCCTCAACCCCTAAGCCCCAAACCGCGAAAAACCCAAGAGGGTTTCGGGATTCTGGGGTTTTGGTGCTTTTTGGGTCTGCAGAGCTTCAAAAGCCGGGCTGAAGGCCTGGGATGTAGGCCTTGGGGTTTAGGGGTGCAGGGGTCCAGGGTCCCAGGGTTTCAGGGTTAGGGGGTTCAGGGTTTAGAGGTTTAGGGGTCCAGGATTTTTGGGTTTTGGGCGGGGGTGGGGGGGGGGGGGGGCCTATCTTGGTGCCATGAAAAATGATACCACTGCAGCCCTTGCGGCCAAAACCACGACGATCGGGGGGGGGGGGGGAGGGGGGGGCATGTCCCCCGTGACCCAGCAAGCATGATAATATCCCTAAACCCTACCCCTAAACTCTAAACCCTAAACTCTAAACCCTAAACCTAAACCGTAAAACCCTAAACCCTAAACCCTAGACCCTAAACCCTAAACCCTAGTTTACCCTAAACCCTAAACCCTAAACTTTTACAAGTGAGCCCCCAAAAACCCAACGAGGGCAAAAGGGCACCGCGGAGCTACCAAGTTTGGGGGTCACTCTGGGTAGTTTATACTCCGATTTGGGTTTCGGGCTTAGGGTTTGGGGTTTAGGGTTTAGGGTTTAGGGTTTAGGGTTTAGGGTTTGGGGTTTAGGGTTTAGGGTTTAGGGTTCAGGGTTTAGGGTTTAGGGTTTAGGGTTCAGGGTCTTCGGTTTTAGGGTGTATACTCCAAGTTGAAACATATTTGGGCTCCTGTGTTGCAGCGCTGCAGGGTTCTAGACCCACGAGTAGCCTAGGAATGAAGAAAGGGTGCCCTTTTAGGGTTTAGGCTTTAGGGTTTAGGGTTTAGGGTTTAGGGTCCAGGGTTTAGGGTTTAGGGTTTAGGGTTTAGGGTTTAGGGTTTAGGGTTCAGGGTTCAGGGTCTAGGGTCTAGGGTTTAGGGTTTAGGGTTTAGGGTTTAGGGTTTAGGGTGTAGGGTTTAGGAGGGTTTAGGGTTTAGGGTTTAGGGTTTAGGGAAACCTACACCCTACAAAAAGTCAATAAGGAGCCTACTCCGAGTCCTAGGGTCGTGAGTTTTGGGCTCATGCCACGAACAACGCCAAGTATTTCTTTGCCAAATCCGAAATCCTAAACAGAAGATGGGGCCCCCTAAACCCTAAACCCTAAACCCTAAACCCTAAACCCTAAACCACGATTCTGCCGCGCTGCTTCGCGGAGTGCGGACGCTTGTCAAGCCCATGCAAGACTGGGAAAGGGTTCCCATGACCATAGTCCAGACCTGTGAGGCATGAGGCTTTAGGCTTTAGGAATTAAGGCTGTAGGCTTTGGGCTTCAGGCTTTGGGCTTTAGGCTTTGGGCTTTAGGCTTTGGGCTTTAAGCTTTGGGCTTTAGGCTTTAGGCTTTGGGCTTTAGGCCTTAGGCTTTAGGCTTTGGGCTTAGGCTTTAGGCTTTAGGCTTTAGGCTTTAGGCTTTGGGCTTTAGGCTTTGGGCTTTAGGCTTTGGGCTTTAGGCTTTGGGCTTTAGGCTTTAGGGTTCAGGGTTCAGGGTTTAGGGTTTAGGGTTTAGGGTCTCTCGGGTTTAGGGTTTAGGGTTTAGGGTTTAGGGTTTAGGGTTTAGGGTTTAGGGTTTTAGGGCTTTAGGGCTTGGGGTCCTCGAGCATCCGAAGCACGCGAACACAGCCACCACTGAGTGCTGGACGCATGTGGCCGCCAAACCTGCCCTCATCCGTGTCCAGAACACAGCGCAAGGGCTCGTCCTTGGGATGGAGGGCTTACTTGGAGGTTCATGGTACTTACTAACCAATTTTGACTGTACTTACAACCCTACTTATCATGCCCCTAAAGGGCCTTATAGGGGTCATCCCTCTTATAAGTTAGGGGCTTGAAGAGCCACCCTGGAGCCGAACAAAAACCCAAAGCCTTGTTGCGCACGCGGATCAGGCACGACGGACATGTTGGTCTTTCGTGAGCATTCAAAGCTTACTGCTTTTGGCTCTCAGGGTCTTAACGCCCAAGGCCCAGCTGTGCACAACATTCTGAGTTATTTGGGTGGCTGTCAAAATTCTGATCCCTTTTGTGGTACCCTAAATATTAGGTGCCGTATAATTATCATAGGGATCCAAAAAGGGGCCAGAATTTTGACAACCGCCCATTTAGGAGTCATTACTCATGCGTTGCTGGTAATCGGTTGTCATTAGTTACTTGGTTCTTGGTTAGCAGGTTATTCGTTAACAAAAATGGGAGTTCAACGAAAATAAGGGATCCCTGTAGTAGACCCCCAAATAATAGGATTCCCTTACAATAAGGACCCCAAAAAGGCACCCCCATTTTCGGAAACCCCCAAATAATTAATGTTGCTGATCCTAACCCTAAACCCTGAACCCTAAACCCTAAACCCTATTTCTTGCTATGGCCAGTCAGGGCTCCTGAACACCCCTCGGAAGAAAACAAAAAACAATTCCTGAACACGATCCTCTTAAAGCCTTAAAGCCAATAAGGGAGCCCTAAACCCTGAACCCTAAATCCTAAAACCCCAAACCCTGAACCCTACACCCTAAACCCTAAACCCTAAACCCTAAACCAAGAACCCAAAACCCAAAACCCAAAACCCAAAACCCTAAACCCTGAACCCTAAACCCTAAACCCTAAACCCTAAACCCTACCCATTATTCCAAAGCCCTACCTAGCCAGCAACACTCGAGGCCGTAAAGCCCCAGAAGCTGTGAGCCCCCAGACCAAAACTGGGTTTAGGGTTAAGGGTTAAGGGTTTAGGGTTTAGGGTTTAGGGTTTAGGTTTAGGGTTTAGGGTTAGGTTCAGGGGTTTCGGGTGAAGGGTTCTAAGGCCTTAAGACCTTTGGGTCTAGGGTTTAGGGTTATAAAAGTTTACGTCCGTTCAGGGTGGCGCAGGGAAGGTCCCGACAAATACTCAGCTCCCGACGGAATGAGTTCCAATCTGGTAATTCTCATAGCCTGACAGTTGTGAGCTTGGGGCTTAGGGTTTAGGGCCTAGGGACCATTACGGTTTAACCCTAAACCCTAAACCCCAAACCCTAAACCCTAAACCCTAAACGCTAAACCCTAAACCCTTTCTAGGGCTTGGGGTTGAGGGCTTGCAGTTTAGGGTTTCGGGGCTTCGGGTGCTGAAAGATGAGAGCACTTGGGTTTAGGGCTGTTTGCGGGCCCAAGTTTCAGGGTTCAGGGTTCAGAGCTCAGGTCTAGGGTTTCGGGTTTAGGGTTTAGGGTTTAGGGTTAAGGGTTCAGGGTTCAGGGTCTAGGGTTCAGGGTTCAGGGTTCAGGGTTTAGGGCTTGGGGTTTAGGGGGTTTTGGGCTCGGGCTGATGCAAATCCAAGTGGCTGTTGCACGGGTGGAAGTTGAAAGCCTTAGCTTGGCGCAGGCCTGCAATGCCTGCTGATTGCCTCTAGGATTTAAGGATTACAGTTTTTAGGGTTTAGGGTTTAGGGTTTAGGCTTAAGGGTTAAGGGTTTAGGGTTTAGGGTTTAGGGTTTAGGGTTTAGGGTTTAGGGTTTAGGGTTTAGGGTTTAGGTATGAGCCGATTTTGGTAGGATTTTCGGTGCCAGGGTTGATGGCTTCGGTCTTCCGGGAGAGCTCCTCAAGGAATCTACAAAACCAGATCAGGGTTTAGGGTTTAGGGTTTAGGGTTTTGGGTTTTGGGTTTTGGGCTTTGGGCTTTGGGTTTAGGAAAGGGCCTTTCGAGAATCTCAAGACTAAACCCTAAAAGCCCTAAGCCCTAAACCCTAAACCCTAAACTGTACAGCTCAGGGTCGAAGACAAGATCGCCGCGCTCGAAGACGATGACCTGCACGCTGGGTGGTTTAGGGTTTAGGGTTTAGGGTTTAGGTCGCTTTACCAGGGCATCTTCCTTTGGAATCGGGTACTTCCCCAACCAGGGCCCCTCCTGTAAAGCGACCTAAACCCTAAACCCTAAACCGGGTTTAGGGTTTAGGGTTGAGGGTTTAGGGTTTAGGGTTTAGGGTTTGGGGTTTAGGGTTTAGAGTTTTGGGGTTTACGGTTTAGGGTTTAGGGACCCTACACCCTACACCCTACACCCTACACCCTGACCCTAAACCCTAAACCCTAAACTAAGACTAGGGCTTAGGAAACCCTAAACCCCAGCACAACCTCAACTGAAGATTCGGAGGTCGGCCCCGTGAGAAAGACTCCGAACTATGATTTACTTAATTGCCAGAAAGGAAAATCGAAAAATTTCCCCTAAACCCTAGCTTCCTTGCCTTGTCCATCTCGTCCTTCTTGCTGACGTACTGATGGTGCGCATTGACGAACTTGAACCGATTCTCGCAGGCCTGGCGCAGATGAAAAGTCGATGCTCGAGGGACCATGCGACTACAAGTTCAGGGCTTGCGGAAGTTCGGGTACAAGTCCAGGAGTTTCAAATCAGGCTCGTCAAGATTACCTTCCATCAAGGGTACATGTTGTTTGCTAAAACAAAAAAAAAGGTCGCAAGTGGGTGGGCTTGGGGTGGGCAGGTCCGCAGACTAGTGCGAGCTCACACAGCACACTTCCGTCTAAGCCCTACAACCTCAACCTTTCACTCTTCAATCATCATGCCACCTCGCTTCTCCCGTGCGTCCATGGCTCCTCTGACCGGCCACCTGTAGTAACAGGGGGAACGTTGTGTATCCTCGGATGCTTTAGGGCGAAGTCATGGAGATGTTCTCCGGATTGGCCTTTGCTGCCAGCACTCCGTTTCATCTGGTGCAGCGCTGGCCTTCGTACAAGACCCTTGCCTGGAGCGTGTGAGTAGAGCATGGAGACAGTATGGATTCTGTGATGACGCGGTGACCTCCAGAGACACTGGCCAGTTTGCTTTGCCAGCCTTTGCACAGCAGCCAGACAGGACAGGATCGCCTCTTTGAGCAGTACCGGTTGGGATGTTCCCCTTATACTAACAGTCCCTGATAGGGATTCTAGTACCCCTACTAAACCCTAAACCCTAAACCCTAAACCCTAAACCCTAAACCCTAAACCCTAAACCCTAAACCCTAAACCCTAAACCCTAAACCCTAAGCCCAGGACTGTTCGTATAAGGGGGAAAATCCCAAAGTAGCGGCATAGAGATACCCTTCGGAGTGAGAGGATCACAGTTCAAGGTCAGGGTCTGGGGCTTAGTGTTTAGGGTCTTTAGGGTTTAGGGTTTAGGGTTTAGGGTTTAGGGTTTAGGGTTTAGGGTTCAGGGTTCAGGGTTTAGGGTTTAGGGTTTAGGGTTTAGGGTTTAGGGTTTAGGGTTTAGGGTTTAGGGTTTAGGGTTTAGGGTTTAGGGTTTAGGGTTGCAGCCCATCTCCAAGCTGCGAGCAGAAGCCAGTGAGGGCGTCGCTGCCAGCACCAGAAACCCTAAACCACAAACCCTAAACGCTGAACCCGAAACCCTCAACCCTGAACCCTAAGCCCTAAGCCCAAAGCCCTAAACCCTAAACCCTAAACCCTAAACCCTAAACCCTAAACCCCCCCCCCCAAAAAAAAAAATGGCCTGCATCAACTCCTCGAAGGCCTGGAAGAACTTGTATCTCAGCAAGTCGTCTTCGGCAAGATCCCAGCCTCTGAGTGCTTCGGGCGTTCGCTGCGGTGTCCCTTGTGGGAGAAACCCTTTCCATGTTCTTGTGTCATGGTGTCTTGTTGTTACTCGGGCTGTTAAAAGAAAAATCCTGTATAATTCATGAATTTGATGATTTCGGGAGCCGTCATTTGTGGTCACTACAGTGTTCAGATGAGAGAAACCTTTGTGGCGCCCTGGTTGAGAAACCGCAGCTCACAACGGTAAGTAAGTCGTAATGTTAGGCAGGTCACGCCGTCTGCAATGATGGTGGCTCCAGCCATTCTCAGGACGAGGGAAGTCGATCCACTCAGGATGTCCAAACTCGTTGCCCATGAAGGTCAGGTAACCCTGGCCATGCCACGCGAGACAGGCTGAGCCACCCTAGCATGCTAAAACCGCCTTGAGTAGTGATGTTCTTCACTCCAGAGTCAGGATCCCTCTATGGCTCAAGGATTCTCAAGGTGTGTTCCTTAATTAAGGGGTAGTTGCAGTTCGCGTGCCTCACCGCCCAGCCCCATAACGAGCAGGCGAATCATCTTGTGCAGCCTTAGGGACTCCGGCGGCGTGGGGCAAACCGCGTCGACACACTTTCTCCTTGGGATCTTCTCCCTTTATACTAACAGCTCCTTAATAGGGATTACAGTAGAATAGGGGGGTACTAAACCCTAAACTCTAAACCCTAAACCCTAATCCCTAATCCCTATTAAGGAGCTGTTAGTACAAGGGGGAACATCCCAACTTTCTTCTGAGGAGGGCACGCCAGGCCGCGATCGACACACATAGAAGGCTGCGGACTTGTGAAGACACTCATGCCCGTGTACCTCGACTCACGCAGCTTTGGAGCATAGGGTTTAGGGTTTAGGGTTTAGGGCCTTTAGGGTTTAGGGTTTAGGGTTTAGGGCTTAGGGTTTAGGGTTTAGGGTTTAGGGTTTAGGGTTTAAGGGTTTAAGGGTTTAAGGGTTTAAGGGTTTAAGGGTTTAAGGGTTTAAGGGTTTAGGGTTCAGGGGGCGTCGCGCAGTGCTGTCAACAAAAGAAGCTGACCCCATGGCAGAGAGAGCGCAACAGGTGTGAGGGGGGGGTCACATTTCGGCGTCCATCAGCCAGAAAGCGAGTGTCTTGTCCCCAACGATGGCCTCACTGCAAGAGCTGCAAGAGCTCAAACAGCAAGCGGGGGCGCGGCAGACAAGAATGTGACAAGAAGCTGCAGGAACAACCCGTCTGCACCTGATCGTGCGACTCGCAGTAGGCGATGACCTACAGACATGAAAACTCCATGGATCTGCTTCCGCTTGAAGCTTGGAGTTCAAGGGCTTAGGGTCCGTGGGTTTCCCCAGGGTGTAGGGTTTAGGGTCTAGGGTTTAGGGCTTAGGGCTTAGGGCTTAGGAGCTTAGGAGCTTACCCCACCACGAAGCCCTCAACCCCGCGCAGCCTTCTCCATGTATCTTCGGTTGGTCAGGGTGTGCACCAGGTGGCCCATGGACCACCCATCGTCGGTACACTGGCGCGCGAGAGCAGAGGGCAAGCTCAGTCTGTGGGGCAAGTTCAGCCTGTGGAGCACAACCCTAAACCTAGGCTGCCCAGTAACCTAGGCTTAAAAAGGGTGCCCTTTTTTGCTTAAAGGGGTTTATAAGGGAACCTAAACCCCCAAAAAAGGGATAAGGGCACTACTGGGCATCCTAGAAACCCTAAACCCTAAAAAAGCGCAATGGCAACTCAAGCAGCTGCGAGCCTCCTTCAGGTACCTCAGGGCAGGCAGGAGGACCCCAAACCGTCAGCTCAAAACCCCCGAGCCGACACTCACCCGCTTCGCAACCCACTACAGCTGGCGAGACGAAGTCCCAAACTGAGCGGTTTTAAGACGTGCAGCTTGATGAACATGTCCGGGATCGCCATCGCCAGGCGATAGTCGAATCCTGAGTTGAGCATACTATATAGTATCATGGTATATGGTAGTATGTTGTCACATCTTGGAGTATGTTCTGGTATACTCTAGCAGACTAATGTTGACTGTTCTGGCATTAGGTCATACTAGGTGTTACTAGAAGGCCGGAGCCCCCCCGGTCGAGAACCGTGTGGAAGAAATTAACAACTCTTCCCCCCCAACCCAAAATCTGCGCCGTCAACGCCCCGCACGCGCAACCGCACTCTTCTGGAAGTTTCCGGGTCCTGCCGGGTACCTAATTACCTCCTGGGGTTTAGGGTTTAGGGTTTAGGGTTTAGGGTTTAGGGTTTAGGGTTTAGGGTTTAGGGTTTAGGGTTTAGGATTTAGGGTTTAGGGTTTAGGGTTTAGGGTTTAGGGTTTAGACGTCTGAGTGGTGCTGCAGCCGTCAGCAAAGGACTTTGTCTTTCGTCTGCGATGCGCACGCCACACCCCACGTTGGGCCGGCCCGGCCTACACCACGCCTAGGGCGCGCGCAAGCGTTTACAATTAATTGAGGGAACCCTAAACCCTAAACCCTAAGCCCTAAACCTTAAACCCTCAACCCTAAACCCTAAACCCTAAACCCTAAACCCTAAACCCTAAACTTTGCCCTCCTCCTCCCCCTCTAGGTGTCTCAAACCCTAGTCACGCTCTCTCGGCTTGGCATGGGCTTCCGACACTCTCCTCTCTCTATCTGGCTGCCAATGATTCCATCTTTCTCTGCATCCGCCTGCCCATCTCGCCAAGGCGAAACCAAGAGAGCCCGTACACCCCCTGTTTAAGGATTCTACCTCAAGCCATAAACCCCAAACCCTGAAACCATAAAGGTATCTTTGTTGCGAGATAAGGTCTACGCCTGAATTGAAGGGTGCCGGGCTCTCAATGAACCCAGCAACTCGGAAGCCCCAAACCCCAAACCCATATGCTAGAATATTAGGGTTTAGGGTTTAGGCTTTAGGGTTTAGGGCTTAGGGCTTAGGGCTTAGGGCTTAGGGCTTAGGGTTTAGGGTTTAGGGTTTAGGGTTTAGCGCGATGTTATTCGAAGGTGGCCCCTAATATTTAGAGCACCCAACAATGGACCGTAATTTAGAGAAGGGCTGAGATATATACTATCATATGTTGGGATATAACGTCAGCTATTGAAAATCAGTTTGTCAGATGTATAGCTTTATGCTTGATAACATGTTATAACTGTAATTCACTGGATGCTTTCTAGCAAGTTCTTGAACGTCGTAACAGGATATAACGTCCAGCGCTAATGACATACTACGAAATACTACAAGACCCCAGAATGTTCAGCAATATACTATCATATACTGCAATGTAATACAATGTATTCTAAACTGCTGCAGTATACTATCATGTACCTACTGTTTGCTTCAGAACCTCCCAAAGGATTTATTTAACAACAAAAATTTTCCCTATAAGCGTAATATAGGGATGATTATCTTTTGGGTTTTGTTCTGAAGGGACGACATTCTACGAGAAGATGCCCTAAATCCGAAACCCTAAGCCCTAAACCCTAAGCCCTAAACCCCAAACCCTAAAGCCTAACACACACTTTACACCCTAAACCCTAAACCCCAAACCCTAAACCCTAAACCCTAAACCCTAAACACACTTTCCCTGAACCCATGGGCCGAGCTACCGAAGCCTCCCCAGTCGACTGGCAAGCACAAAGTCGGCATGCCACTCACGTCCTCCCCCAGATCTATCAAAATAGGGTTTAGGGTTGAGGGTTGTTTAGGGTTCAGGGTTTAGGGTTCAGGGCTTAGGGGACATACCTCAATACCACCAGAATCATGTTAATGATGATGGCAAACTCTGATGGTGCTGGCAACGGCTGCAATGATAAGACTGGTGGTAATGGTAGCAATGACACTATGGATAGTGACGATAGCAGTGGTAACGATCATACCAATGAAAACCTGCTCACCATGAGCCCATTTCCGAATCAAGGTAAACCCTAAACCCTAAACCCCAAACCCTAAACCCAAAACCTCAGTTCTTTGCTGTAGGAGATCTGGGCTTATTCGAGGGCCACGGTTGGTGTCCGCGGCTGGATTGGGTTGTGGTTTGGGGCCTTTTTGGGGCTTCGGCCTCAGGGCAGGGCCTCGAAACAGCTTGGCTTGGGGTGTCTTGATCTGTTGGTCCGGCTTCCGACGTCGGATTTTTCAAAAACTGGAGGCAGGGCTCCGTTTAGGGTTTAGGGTTTGGGTTTAGAGTTTAGAGTTTAGGGTTTAGGGTTTAGGGTTTAGGGTTTAGGGTTTAGGGTTTAGGGTTTAGGGTTTAGGGTTTAGGGTTTAGGGTTTAGGGTTTAGGGTTTAGGGTTTAGGGTGTAGGGTGTAGGGTTTAGGGTTTAGGGTTTAGGGTTCACGTTTGAGTCTAAAGGCAGCGTGTGAGTGACAGGAGGATGCTGCCCTACCAGTGGCAAGGACACTGACATGTTTCGGTGTACTTGCAAAAGATCTGAGTCTGGGGGTTTGCAAAGGATCTGAGTCTGGGGATCAGATGTAGAGTGAGGCATCCTCGCCAACTGTCACGGCTGAGGGAACAGTGCGGTGGATCAGGTCGTTCGCCAGCATGAGATAGATGTGGCCTCAGCAAAGGGCTTCGTAGCACTTCTACAACCCAAGGAGCCAAATAATTACCTCTTCAATACAGAATATACCTCAAATCATAATAAGGATCCCTGTTTTGTTTAAGGTTCTTTTCCATTTAAGGGGGGCTCTCTCGGAATGGAGGTTCGGTGGAGCCAGAATAGCTTCTTGCGAGATCCGTTTGTTCTTTCCGCGCAGCAATTGTGTCAACAAGTGGCATCCGAAATCCCAACGCGGCGGGCAACGTATTTCAGTGCCTAGCTCCTCTCGCCAAGGCGCTGTCGATGTCTGCGTCAGGTCCGAAGTACTCGTGATAGCCACCAGTGTAGCCTTTACCAATGCCGTGAGATTGATACCTGGGCTTCGCTTCCCATTATGGTGGCAGCTTCGAGAAAGATGCCTTGTACTACTATTTGGAACCCCCAAGAAATGTACAAATTTCTTCCTTATATGCATATAAGGATTATTCATCTGTGTTTTTGGGGTTGTTCTTGAGCAACAATAGTATGGGCCGGCACACTGGCCCCTTGACACTTCCTTTGCCAACAATTGCGTGTTGACATAAGGATGGAAGCAAACCTAGATCACAGGAACCCTCTGCATGTTGTGAAGTCGACCAGCACTGGACTTGCACTAAGCCAATGCAATCACAGCCCGGTCACGCTGTTTTACGACTTCGCGAGTCCAAGCACTTGTGCAGCTACGCCTGAGTGCGTCCGGTCGGACCGCACAGCAACCTAGGAGCTACTGTACGACTCTACCGTGCTCAAAGGCACAAGCTCGGTACTTGAGCCAAAACATTGGCATTGTTACGAATTGCAAAACTACACATGCAAGAGAAAACAACAAGCTGCACTAGCACTAAGCAAGCACTCCATGCATGCTTTGACCTGCTCACATTCGCCCCTCAGCCGAGGCTTCCGGCTCACCAAGAGCTCATAGTGCATCAAGCACTTCAGCAATGCGGCAAATGGGGTAGGGTGAGGGTGTCGCGTGCGACTCTGGTAGAGCCCGCACATCAAGAGCATTGGCATGCGGCTTGGGCGGCAGCCCGCACTACCGGACGAACGCACGACGACAGCAACCCTTCACGACCCTAAACCACCCCAAGTCGCGAGCTCTCACCTTTGTGCAGACAGGCGAGGCTCCAGAGTACTGGGCAGGTCTTTGTGCTGCTAGTGCAAAGCTATGGTACAAATGGTACACTGTACACTACCGGTCCTAAGCTACGGCTACGGCTACTCACCTATCCGGAACTACCCTACGGGCTACCAGACTCAGCGAGAGCCGCGCACATGGCTTGTGCCGCAGGCAATGCAACTCACACGCGCTTCGGCGAGCGCATTGCCGCGACCAGGACACGGTCCGCAGCACCTGCAAAGAGCACCCTCAGCACGAGGGGCCACAGGCAGGGCGGAGGAGAAAGGTGCGGGGAATGCAAAATGGGCAGGTTTCCAACCTGCCGCGGCTTTTTCGCCCGCAGTCAAGCAAAAGAAAATGCAAAAGGTTGGCGAAGCAACGTGCCGTGCTGCAACGCCTGCTCTGATAATGCGTGGATGCATACCACGCCGCGCCAACTGGCCGCAGCCTACTCGATACCCTGTGGAGCAGTGTTGGGGGCACGAGTGGCGTTGCCAGCAACGTTGGAGCTACTGGCTCGCTCCAACTGAGGGCGCCTTGCGACCGCCTCATCGAGGGAGAATGCCTCAGCCGACACTCTCTGGAAATCCTCAATGTAGGACTGCGCGACCGGGTGCGTCTTGGGGACCTCAAGCCTAAGCCCTGCCTCCGCATTGGCTTTGCTGCTTGTGGTAAAATTGAGGCTCCCAATCAGCACCACCGCGCCATCAGGCCGCAGTAGGCAAAGGGCCTTGGCATGGTGAAGCCCTTGGATACCGGTACCTACTTTAGCCCCGCGGCCGTCGCGAGCATAGGCGTCGCGCACGGATGTGCCGCAACCCACCTTCACCTCGGCGCCTGCAGCCGCCAAGCGTTTCAACGCTTGCCACTGCAGTTTGGTGCGGTGGCATTGTCCCATGTCGGCGACAATCCGAACGCCTGCGCCCTTGCTAAGCGACGCTTCGATTGCCTCGATGCAGGATGGGCAATCTAAGCTGTACGCCCGGATGTAGATCACATCCTCTGCTGCTCCAGACCCAAGCAGCGTTTGGGCGGCCTGAACGTATGGCCCGCCCGCCAGGAATTCCGCTTCTTTGACTGGAGAACTCCTAGCGGGGGCTGGGCCCTTGTTCCTCCGGCTGGGTGTACGCGCCACAGTGACAGTGGCGGCACGTTGCACGAAGCCGGAATGTGCGTGGGCTGCGCTCGCTCCATCTGCTGGGGCCGCGGCCAGGTCACGACCCGCGAGCCCCTGAAAGCAGGAGAGCCCGCGGCTCTTGGCCGCAAGTTGGGAGAAACATCCTTCACTGTTTCCCAAACCCAACACAACCTTACCCTTAGCCAGGGCTTCGGAGGCGGTACTCCGAATGGAGTCTGTGAGCGCAGGACCCGCGCCTCGCTGGGCCGCGTGCAAAAACCCTAGGGATCGAGCGGTGTCCATTGCGGCATCGCAATGCCCGCAACGTCCCTCTGCCAGGTAAGCACGACAGCCACAGGCAGCTGTCTCCTCCTTGAGGTGCACCCAAACTTTATGGGTCACCCCTTTCTTAGTGCTCGCGACCTCAAACGTCGCTTCAGAGCCAAGGAGTTGAGACAGCCGCGCCTCAGGGGCCGCGGTGTTGCCATGTCGCATATGCGCAATGCGATTGGCAACGGCACGACTCACGTACCACAGAACAGCGCCGCACAAGATCACTACTACCAGAGTGATGGCTGTTCCGGCGACCCACACGGTCCGCCTGGCCCCATGACCGATTTCCTCGACAACGTCGGCCGAAATCGTTGCAACCGCGTGCATGGAGTCCTCGACAACATGCACAACCCCGCGGTGCAACTGCAAGGCAATCGGCGCCGACGCTGCAGCCGCCAGGCCCCACCAGCCGTTGATGTTCCCGTTGAGGGCGTGCATCAACCGATTGAGGAGCCCGCGACCCAGGAAAAAGGGGGTCCGCGGCGGAAGCGGAACACTTGGCGGCGGCCGGGCCGACCCGCACGGGAAGGCTGGGACCCAGCTTGTGCTTGGGCGGGGTTGGAGCGCGGCAACTATGCCCGCGGCGTAAGCGCCCCAGGCGTACCTGCCCCTCCCCTTGGGCTTGCCCTTGGCATCGGACTTGCCTCTGCCCTTCGGCTTGCCCTGGCCCTTGCCACGGGCGTCTGCCCAAGCACTCCAAGGGTCGCGGCCCTTGCCGTACGTCGCCTCTTCGCGACGTCGCTTGCCGCCCCTCTTCTTGTGTTTGTTTCTAAGAAGAGGTTGGATGGTTTCTTGGTCCATCGCACGATTGGCCAGAAGGATCTCGTACTCCAGCTCGTCCTGGCTGCTTTCGGAGCCCGAGTCCCTCTCTTCGCCACGCCGCGGATCAGGGATCCCGCGAGAGACGACCTCTGCCAAGCGGAGAGGGGTGCTGCAGCGAAAGCACAGCTGCCTGAATGAAAGGTTCCATTCATAGCAGTTAGGGCACTGCCACCCTGCTATGCGGAGCGCCTCGCTGATGTGATCATCGCGCTCCGCCTTCTCCGCCTGGCGCCGCTCTCGCTTCTTGGCGCGCTCGGCCGCCTGCGCCTCCTCGGCCGCCTGGAGGGCTTCAGCGAGTTCCTCATCGCTGAGAAGCCTCGCGGCATCCGCCCGCGCTTGTTGTTCTTCAAGCTCTTCGGCAGAAAACCTCCGCCTCCACTGCTCTGGCGCGGTTTGAGGATCTACCTCCCACCACCCGATGTCGATCCCGTTGATCCATCGGCCGTCGCACGGGGCACCCGCATTCGGGCCGCCCGCGTGCGTGGTGAGGCACTGGTCCTCGGTAACCGGGTTAATGGCTTCGCAGAAGAAGCACCGCCAGCTGCCGTAGGGGTAAAAGCGGCCTTCGACATAGGCTCGGTTGGCAGGGAGGGCGACATCGTCCGCCTCATCCGCGGTGCCTGCCTCCATCTCAACCGAGACCTCCTCGTCCTTGACAACCTCAGCTTCCTCCTCCTGTTCCTCCTTGACCAGGGGCTCTTTCTGCTCCCGGCCAACGTTGAGGTGGGACTCAGTGCGAACCTCGGCGCGCATCAAAATGACGTCAAGGCTGTCCGCGGCTGGGTCGCCCGCGAAGAAGGAATCGATCTCCTGGGCATGGAGATCGTCAAGAGGCGTCACCAGGTCTGGCGAGTAATCCCGCTTGGAACGACGCTCCGCAAGGCGTTGCTGAACGTCGCTCGTCGGCGGCTCGAGGGCCCGCCCGCGCGGCGCGGCCTCCCGCGGAGGTCCCGGCTCGGCCTCCTCCGTGGGCTCGCTCTTGGGCGTGGACCCTCCACCGCTACTCTCTGGAGCGGGGTCCAGCTCGGGGTCATCGCGAAGCCACCCCGGCGGATGACTACCACCATAAATGTGGTGCGATCCGTCCTCAAGCTGGATTCGGTCCCCTCTCTTCAGGAGCGGGACCTTCGAGTGATCGTACCCGTTGGCTTTGTGGTCGTCCCCGCCAGTCTTGACGAAAAGGGTCAAGAGGTGCGGAGGGGCTGATCCCCAGGTTGGGCGGAAGAGAGGCGCCATGGCAGGCCGCCTGATGCAAGTGGTATTGCACCAGCGACTCAAAGGCTAGCCCGCATCCAGGAGCTGAGCATCCATAGTGGCCGTCAGCGTTGGGGCGAGGCTCCTCTGGGGCCGGGGCGGACTGGACGGTCCCGCCTCCTGAAGGCCTGGCGGAACTGCTCGATCCCGCACCCCCGGGGGCATCCTGACCATCGTCAGACACCTCTTCCCCGTCGGCGCCTTCCCCGGCCGCCCGACTCTCTCCCTCTCGGCGCAGTGTTTTGAGGGATTCCTCACGCTTGGTGATCTTTTCTAGCTTCACCGCCACCTCCAGTATCTTCGACTGGAGCTTCTGCGCTCTCAGAAGAGCTTCGGACCGCGCGAGGTACTCCTTCGCGCTGCTGACGAACCCTTCCTCTGTGCTCTCGGCCTGGGCCCCACCAGCGGGCTCTTCGTCCTCCTTCACCTTGACCGCGGCTTGAGGCGCCCGCGTGTCGGGAAGATCCGAGCTGGAACTATCTTCCTCGACACCTTCAGCTTCTTGGGCTGCCTCTTCCTCGAGCGAGTCTTCGGCCTCGAGGACATTGGGGCCAGGGACGTTGCGCCTAGGGTACACCTTGGGCTTCGCTGGAACGATCGAAGTCTTAGGAGCCCCTGAAGCACGCCCTTTGGCCTTAGGCGCGGCCTTAGGAGGGGTAACAGGTTGGGCGGCCCCCGCGGCCATGACAC